CTAGTGGTAGCAGAATGTCAGACGCCTTAACCACTTGGCCACCGCGACCCAGTGGTGGAGGGCTAGTGGTAGCAGAATGTCAGACGCCTTAACCACTTGGCCACCGCGATCCAGTGGTGGAGGGCTAGTGGTAGCAGAATATCAGACGCCTTAACCACTTGGCCACAGCGACCCAGTGGTGGAGGGCTAGTGGTAGCAGAATATCAGACGCCTTAAACACTTGGCCACCACAGTCCCTCGTTTTGGCAGAGATGAAACATTGGCATATAAAGTGTCATATAGTCAAATAAATATGCTTTATCACACTTTATGTAAATTAATCATTACGACCACACATACTCGCTATTTCATGATGATGTTGCGGTTATGAAGTTTATTATTGCAGCTCATTTTTATGCATGTCATATTATTCTGTGGATCATATTTTCGCGATCACACTACTGATCCGGGTAAATATCATTCCCACAGAAATATCCTGTTTTACAGTATATCAACATGGCCTCTGATGAGCATACTGTTTACCTGATGAAGGTTTAGGTTGTTGTCCATTGCCAGGGGGATGATGAATGGTAAGACTTTGGTAGCCATGATGTCTTTGGTAATCCCCAGTTTGACATGAGACAGCGTAACTTGGTATATTCCTGAAAGATACATTGTTTTCACATCCATTCAAATTGATACACATTCAACAATAGATCACCATCATTATTTCCCCCTCCTAAATTTTTCATTCTATATTTCATGTATTTGATCTTTTTTTGTATTGAAGAAGTGAATCATTTCAATATAAGATTACCAGTCCACAGACAGATTTTGAAAAATTCTACCAGTCTGACTTATATTTTCGAAGTACATGAATATATTTACAGCTTTTCAGATGACCATTTCCATATCCTAGTCTGTTATCGGCCCTCAACCAATATCAGCCCGATTGGCTGGAGGTCTGAGGGCTGATATGATAGTCTCAGGCTGATACGTACGGAGTAGGATATGGAAATGGTGATATGGTAACCTTTTTATCATATCCTGCTGTATAACATCAAAATTATAAGCAGAAAATCTATATATCATGAGCTTCACTATAATCATTTTCTACCTTAAAATAATGAACAGAATAGCAAATTCAGATGGATATGCAGTGTGTACACTACCAGTTTGAGGTGTGATTTTTCTTAGATATGGCGAGTGCCAGGCTGATATGGGGCAGGCCGGGTGGATATGTGTTAGTCATGGATATGGCCTATTCACATATCTTATAGGTACTTCTTATACCTTGTCATAACAATAGGCTTCTAGTGAGTATCTAGGGGGAATTATATGTACCTAGTATACTCATCAGTACTGCTGGCTCCCTGGTGGGTATCTGGGGGAGGAGGGGGAATATGTCGTCCAGAACAGTCCACTTGTCCAGGTATTCTAACAGTTTACCGATACACAACAGGCAGTTAGTCCGAATCTGAAACAGAACAGGTGTAAAATTCACATATCAGCAAAATGGATGTGATCATACAAATAAAAAAAGTGTGCAATATTTTGGCATTAACTTTTTCTATTAAAACTACTTCTTCAGAGATGTACTTAACTTATATTATCAAATTGCAGAATTTTTATTTAAAAAACTTTTATTTTATGAAATACACACAAAATAAAATGCAATAGGATCAGAAAAAGATTCAAACCCTAGACCTTGCTCACAATACAGGCATGCTTTAATCATGATCAATCGAGTTAACTGATAAACAGCAGTTCTCTAGGCAAGTTCCACTACGCACAATTATATCCAAAACGAAACTAAAGGGAGGTAACTATTTGAATGTGAAAATGAATATACACTGGAACTCTCTAGTATCTCGACTGTAGTGGGACAGGAATCCTGAACTGTTGTAGGGAGCTGGACTGTCCTCTTCTCAATGCACATTTCTCCTCGGCTATTTAAAATTACCTGATATTCAGACTATTTTTTTAATTTTGAAATACTTACAGCTAATACACCTGTTGAAAGACACAATTTTTTAATCCTTGGAATGATGGAATTTTTCAAAGAGCTAAATTCAATCAGCTCTGCAAAAGTTGGCACAATGGAGAGGCACAATTCCTTTAATAGAAAAGAAGACATGAATATTAAGCACCCTTACACACCATCTTTAAGATGAACTCTTTAACTGCAACTTAAAATGATCTTTATAATAAATATGCTTTTAAGATACAGTTAAATCTTTTCATGCAACCACCTTTAATTTATTAAGAGACTGCCTCTGTTAAGAGACCACTTTTAATGTTTCCAATTATAGGGATTGTATTGTAAAACGAACCTGTATAAGGGACCACCTCTGTTAAGAAACCACATTTAATGATTCCCGTTATAGTGATTGCATTGTAAACCGAACCTGTATAAGGGACCACCTCTGATAAGAGACCATGTTTTGGACTTCCAATTTGTGGTCTCTCAGTACAGGTTCAACTACACACAAGAACAGGAAGGGTGATTGACTGCACTTGTTAAGTGAGAGCGGTAATACATTTTATACACTCTCTTACAGTTGTCAGAATTATTTTTTTCAAGTCACTTTTTATGAAATTATTACACTAAATTATTTAGCTATTTGTTGCCTATCCTTCTTACTTAAGATATTCATCCCTGAAGACACATTTGAACTCTTCCGATTCAAAGGTTGAAATAGTTCATAACGAAATTTCAGGGGTGAATAAGTTAAAATGTTAAAGTCTGTCTGACTAGATAAATCATGTCTATTATGCATGCTTGTACTTCACAAAATAAATAGTTCACTTTCCTCATTAAAATTTCAGCAAACAAATGACAGTTTAGTCAGTGAACCACTTTGCTTAACCTCTAATGAACCTAAAATCTTGCTTGCTACACATTAAATGACAGTGTATAGCAGACTGTACCTGTAGCTGAGGACTCGCCGCCTCCAAACACTGGTGAATCATCGGTATCACATGGTTTTTTATTTCTCCTTGAGGAGTCTTCTTCAGCAACAGGTTCATGTTTTGCATGAAAGTCAAAGGAATCTGAAAACAAGAAGTGGGTATGGTTGTATATATACAGTAAAACCCTGCAAACTCGAACTCGTAGGGCCCAGATCAATAGTTCGAGGAATACATGGTATTTGCCGAATCCGAGGTTTGACCGACATCATCATTTTTTGATCAGGTGGGACATGATCAGACAGTACAAGCACTGCAAATATCGCAGATAGTAGATGATAGAATTAAAAAAGAAGTTTTATCAAGATGGCAGCATTCAATAAGATTTAAAATAGCTAAATAATCAAAACATATAGCCACCGGACCAGTATGAAGTAAATAAAATTAAAAAAAATGCATGTGTGACGTACTTGTCGTGTTTACATTGCCTGCCATATTGTAATAGGCTATATTGATTTTATAAAATATCAAAATGAGAGGAACTCTTGGATCATTTTAAAATAAAGAAAACCTTGAATCCTTGTTATCATAATGTTGATTGATAATGAAATTAACAATCATGATGTATTCAAGTTTGAATATCTTTAAAGTTCATGTAAAACACTATATGGTATACAACAGTGCTTCAGATAGTTTAATCACTCAGCCGTGAGATAAACAACAACTATACATCATTAAAGTTTTACTTTATACACGAGCAATGTGTGTATCAAACGTGTCACAGCTTACATTGTTTGTGCATGAAGTAAAACTTTGATATTACATTTCCAAACTGACGAATCTTTTTGAAAATATCTATTCAATTATCAAACTCTGTTGAAAAATAAAAAACATAATCTCTTTTAATTGATCAACAGTTATGAGGAGTAGAAGCAAACATCTTGTCTTTATTAATTACTTAAAAAATCCTTCAAAATGTTTTTTTGGCTTTTCTGATACGACTAAATCATAGTCATCATGCATTCTTAAATCCTCACTGAATACACTTTTTTATATATAAACTTTATTTATTTTATAACATTTATGAAACAAAATATTTCAACTTATATTAATCACTAGTGTTGGCCCAGATTTTAGCACTTGGGGTCTTATTGTGGGAGAAAACCTATTTGGTTGGGCAGATGACTCCATACCTTCTCACATCCGATTGGGGAATGGAACCCGGTCGCCTTAGTGAAAGGCAATTGCCCTATCCACTGCACCACCCAATTTTTTTTTAAAGTATTTTATAGAAATACTTGAAAATATATATATAATCTGTATTTTAATACCTTAAGAAGAAATCACTTAATTTTGATGGTGCGCTCAAAACATTTTCTGACTGTGTACCGATTTGGACAGACCATTCTTACTTGTGGCAGCTGTACATGTCTGGCTGAAATACTGTAAAACTCTTAATTTTACGGTCTCAAAATTTTACGGATTTCCTAAAACTGTGGGATCTGTTTTTTACAGAGCTTAGGTCTAGTGACATTGACACAAAGTGATCTGATAAAGGATGACTGAATTTGAAATTAATTTCATGGGATAATTGGTACTCCTGCACCACAAAAATCGCAAAAATTAGAACCAACAAAAAATAAAACTTTGTAGTATATGGTACATTGTATGTGTGGTATACATTTCTGTATAATGTTACAAATGTAATACCTGTGGTGGTTCCCTGAGTTTAAACATGGGTTTAAGTATTGGCAGGATGTGTACGAGATATTCTTCATCTGTGCTCTGTTCTGCGATTTGTAGAATATTAGGCAGGATAAACGGCACCATTTCCGGGTTTACGCACTCTTTCCGGAGAGGCAGCAGGATTCTCTGAAGACTCACTCTCTGAAACATGGCAGAGCATGTATTTGGAAAAAAAGTAGCAAGAATTCCATCAACGACTAATTTATATAATATATCTCTCCTTTTATAGACAGAGAAATCTCAATTTGAAGTTTAGCAAGAGACTTTCTGGATGAAAATAACTCAGTTGTGTTGACTGTGTTAAATTAATTTTTTGTACTTATAACTTATATATATGTATATATATAACAGATGTTGGATATTAAATAAATATATTGTTAAACCTGTGCTTTAGATGGATTTCTGGTTTTATGGTCAAGGTTAATTTTAAACCACTTTGAAATTAACATAATTGTATTCATGCGAGCCTGTCATGGAACACAAGCATATGAACACATATAGGAGTATGAAAATTGTTGTTCTACTAATTTGAGAGGCCAAAATGAGTCTTTTATATATCAAAATACAAGCTTCCCCCCTCCCCTGAAATGCATCTTATCATTAATTGATACAACATACATATACAAGTACTTCATGTAAACATTAGGTCAATGCAAAACCTAACGAAGAGGTAAAGGTAGAAAACTGAAGGAAAATGTCACCAGGGCCAGGTTGTTCAAAACTATTGTTGATCTAACGATGTTGTTAAACCCTGGTTAGCGAGTCGTTAAAAGTTAACGACGTTGTTAATTACTTAACGACAGTTTTGAACAACTGTGCCCAGGTAGAATCTCCTCCATCAAATCTAAAAGAAAGGGTACAAAAGGAATATAAGATCAGAAATACCTTTGGCAGTTTTGAGATAATTTTTGGAAGGCCTTTAAAAAATTGTGACTTTTGTAGATTGTCCCTCTGGAATAATGAATCCATGTACTGAAGAGTCATACAACCCACATCTTCGAAAAATGGTATCTGAAAATAAACATGGAGCCGTACGATAAAATCTGAGACTATAAATCTAAATGATGTCTTATTAATACCCATTTTAACAACAAAAAATACAGAAAAAGTGAACACCATTAAAACTTCCATTTATATTAATGTGTTAAATAATTTTGATGAAAATGAACAGATCAATAACAATAATTTCATATTTGTAAACATTTTTACTTAATAACGAGTTTACAGAGACTGATTTTATAAAATAAAGTCAAGATTAAATAGAATTTCTCCATGCCAACAAAGATTTAATGCTCAATATTATTGTGATATATGATTAGTCATACAACTTTAGCTAACAGTCATGGCAACAGTGACTGATTGGTCACATTTGGTTCATAAATATTATTTATGTACATGAATTTGGACAATGATACAACTTTCCTTGGTCAATAGATCTTTCGATAATGACTGGTCAGTCATACATCACCTACCATGGTCAGTACATCTTTCAGTAATGACTGGTCAGTCATACATGACCTACCTTGGTCAGTAGATCTTTCGACAATGTCTGGTCAGTCATACATGACCTACATTTATGTACCTTGGTCAGTACATCTTTCAACACTGACTGGTCAGTCATACATGACCAACCTTGGTCAGTAGATCGTTCGACAATGACTGGTCAGTCATGCATGACCGACATGTACCTTGGTCAGTAGATCTTTTTCAACAAGGACTGGTTAGTCATACATGACCTACCTTGGTCAGTAGATCTTTCGACAATGACTTGACAGTTATACATAGCCTACCTTGGTCAGTAGATCTTTCGACAATGACTGGTCAGTCATACATGACCTACCTTGGTCAGTTGATCCGGATCAGGTCTCACTGTAGGTTCGGAGTTCAGCAATAACTTGACATATTCGTGTAGTTCATTAGGCACATTCCCAAGTAGGGACGATCTAAACTTCTGTAGCTGTGAAACACGTATAAAAAGGAAAGAATCCATTACCCACCAGTACTTACACTGTACTGTTCACAATTCATATACATGTATAACTCAAGCTTCTCATGGTTAATGACCACCTTCAACAAGTGGAAGATTCTGTCATGAGAGAGAGCATGAAAATACACAGAGGAAACCATTGTATATAAGAGATGAATTGGGGGTGGGGGATAGACAGAGGAAGGGTTGTACGGCACTAAATTTACACGTACATGTAGCTAGGGAAGAGATGGAAAAGGAAAAGAATGTAAACTGGCAGAAAGATACCAAGCAAGCAAGTGATCAGGTATCCACCCCCCCATCCACACCACCACCACCACCTACGAGACTATAGTTAGCTGGTCCTCAACCAGCACAAGCTAGGGGGAGAATTAGGAAGAAAAGGAAATAACTTGACTATTAATAATAAGTTTTAAGCTGTTCTCTTAGATTATTTTAAGAACATAGTTTTGAAGAAGTACTTCCACCGGATGTCCTGTGGTATCTCTCCCTAGTCCCACTGTGGATGTTATGTTTCTGTCAGTATTTATATATAATTAGGAATTGTCACATGTTTTTTTCCCTCACTAGTCCTTTAGAAAGTCACACGATGTTTCCTTTGTAGATCCACAAGATGTTATATATGTGGTTGACAAGGATGTTGCAGAGGTGATTTCAATTGCGAGATAATTCCAGTGTAATATAGCTCGTGGGAAGAGTACTCTTAGTACATATCTGATGACGACTTGTTTCAGGTATCCTTGTGTTTATACACAGGGGTCAGTACACAGGTGAGATACCTTCAGACCAGTATACCTGGTACACAGCTTGGGCCTGCTTCACATGATCAGCAAAACTCATAGGTCTGTACAGACACAGATTATACTGACATATTACTGTAATAGGATTTTCTCAAGATATAATGGTGTCAAGGATAAAATAACACAGAAGCAGAAAACCCCTTTTAAAAAAACCATTTAAATGTTTGTTGTTGAATGAATATACTTTATACCAGGAAATTTTCTCCCAGTAAAATTTTCGCGCTTTAATTTCATGGTGAAATTCATTTTTGTCCAATCTTAAATTTGCCATTCACATTTGATTACCGGTACTGCGTATATTATATTGTTTAAAATGTTTGCTGTATTGATAAATTTGCCCTCATTACGGAGGACGAAAAAAAGGTGAAAATTAAAAAATATTTTCCTAGTATACAGTATTAAATTTTCTTAAATAAATATTTTCAAAATCTTGCTTCTAAATTAATTATACACTAGTATTGCTAATCCACCTGAACGTAACATTTTTTAGACTCAAATATGTATTGTTACCTCAGCAGAAAATTTCTTGAACTGTGACAGCTGCTCTTTGCACTCATAGAGTGGCTTCCCTTTGTTGAATATTGTGTGGATAAGTACGCCAATAGAAAACATGTCACTAGCCAAACTACAGTTCATGGTGAGAGCATATTCCGGCGCTAAGTAATTAAGGTTTGGCTGAGCGATTGGAGGAATTTCAGAATCCCATTCTCGGAATGCAAACAGTGGCTACAAGGACAAAGAAAACATATTATTAACCATGCAACATTTTCCTTCAATCAATGTAATTTGTATTTTCATTCTTATGCAATCTAATTAAAATTATATCTTCACATCGCTCCCGTTTACTGATATGTTGCGTTGAAGATCTAACAACATCCCATAGAGGGTCACGTCAGAGGTCAACATGAATACATTATTGCATTTATAACAAGCCAATCAAAACGCGACATAACTCTTTCATTCAACCAATCAGAAAGCTGCCATTTTCAATGCTCATTTGACACCTCTCGGTCTTTTATCATAGCAAGTGTGTTCCGAAATCATTACATCATCACTTACAGAAATGCGTAAGCTCTCATCTGATTGGTTAATGCAAAGGTCGCCTGAACATGACCCTCTACGGGATGTTGTTAGATCTTCAACGCGACATATCAGTAAACGGGAGCGATGTGAAGATATAATTTTAATTAGATTGATTCTTATGGTAATGTATGTAACCATTGTCAAGAAAGCTTAATTACAAAATATAATTGAGTTTGGTATTGTATTAAAGCATCATTCTTATATTTCAAAATACAATACAGATATGCAGCAAGCCAGGTAAAACTTCATTTTCAAAAAAAACAATGTTTACCATATATCTTTGAAAAGAAAATATTTCTATTGATATAGTCGGCTATAATAACTGTACATTATGCAAAGGCAAGAAGAGCAACATGAAGATGGTATGGTCTAATTAAGAGAAACCATTGCCATCAAACTTTGGCCCATTGACTTAGATGGCATGATTATAGACCAAATTTTGCCATATATTGATATGAGAGTGCCTGGCATATAGTGAGTAGTTGAATATTTGAAGAAGAAAGTAGAGTTATCTAATAGAAAGATGGTAGAGAAATACTCATTGACTGTTCACAAGGTTCAGAGAAAATTAAAATTCAATAGATGATGAAAATCTATCAAATAACTGCTTTATTGAAATTGTACCACAACTTCTTAACCATCCCAAAATCATCATGTCTCGGGACAGCAGGAAAATTACTGTTCTTGAATATTTTCATACACCAAACCATAGACACCTATCAAAATGAGGAAAATATCAAAAATATAATTATGCACTAAAGATTAATGTATTTTGTACATAAGTTTGAGAACTGAGTCCAAATGTTCTTAGAGTTTTGATAGGGCTCATAGAATTGCTGGAAATACTGAAATGAACTCAGTGGGACCCACAGTTTTTAACAATACAATGGAAAAGGACCCATAAAAACTAACTTCAGATTGATCACTATTCAGTAGTAATATTTTTCTCATTTGTGATAGGTGCCTTTGACCAAACATTACATTCTTGATGCCAAAGAATTTTTGTTCCAGAAACAAAAACACCTGTGTTGAAAATCTTGTCCCCACCATGCACAGCTTGAATAACAAGAACAGAAACAAAGATGGCACTCGAGTATTGCAGTAAACTGCAATACACATATCTAATGTTTTGATTTTGATTTAATAAACATCATCGATTCAGAATATTTGATACTTTAATACGCAAATGTATATTAAAGATCATGTCACTGCATAGTAGTATATTTTCAGATACCATGTTTATATTCTTGTTGTACACCGTCATCATATGACCTTGGCTCTTGCAAAGACATTAACTCATTCACCCTGAAGACACATTTGAACTCTTCCGATTCTAAGGTCAGAACGGTTCATTATGAAACTTCAGGGGTGAATGAGTTAAACCTCAAATAATCCCAACAAATTTTGTCATGCTTGCAGTTTTTAGGGAATAAAATACAGGAATATGATCTTCATTGTTTTCAAGTCAAAATATACATATGTCAAATAGATTATAAGACTCTTTCATGCAAAGGGGTGTAGGATAGGGAAATTCCACCCAAGGGGATATCAATTTGGTAAAATCCGAGACTTGCTGAGAGTGTTGCCTAATTTGAAACTCCTTGGGTTGGAATTACTCTTTCCTACACTCCTGGGCATGGAAGAGTATTTTTTCTCTCATTCCAAAATCTAAGAGAAGGTCAAAAACCAGGACAATTCATAAATGTAATCTTTTTCTGTGAGCGATTCAGACGGAAACAAACTGGTCAGTAAGATTTTGCAAACTCCATTTCTCTAAACTTTATACAGAAAAATAAATCCCATCTATCTGATCAACATATGTACACAGTTTATACCTTATAATAGATTTTGATATTGTTACATTGCCATTTTGCACATTGCTGGATTGGAATTTTTCCCGATTTCATAATGTCATGTCATTGTTGAGCCATCACATGAAATCGGGTGTAAGATGAATATTTCTTACACTTTTCTTGCCCTGCACAGTTTTACCATATACGCACAGGAATGAGAGAAAAACCAATAAACCTTAACTCTGATTGACAATAAGCCTCACACAAAATGGTTTGTTTGAAACCTGGACAAGCCTGAAGATTGAAGAACAAACATTTCATAGACCGAAATAGAAAAATGACAGAAAAAAAGTTTGGAAACCAAATACAATTACCTTTTTAGATCTTAGTGGATGCTGGTTATTAAAATTTATTAAATTAGTTCTATCTGATCAACATATAATATCTCTACAATACATTTAAATCCTGAAAAAAGACACAGTCATCAATATCCCCCTCTCTGAAGAAAAGTCGCGATTAGATCATCGATGCTCAATTTACGATGTAGCATGTGATACAGCAGGATACGCTTATCAGCACTGCATATTGAAACAGGACGTTATCGAAATATTGTTAGGAAGGAAAGTTTTGCAGAGTTTGTAACTCTGAAGATATTGAAGATGAATACCATTTTTTGTTAATTTGTCCAATTTATCAAGTTCTAAGGTCGAGACGTATAAAAATGTACAATTGGAAAAAAATGTCTGTTTTCAAGTTGATCCAACTATAAAATAAAGTACAACTAACTTAAAAGAATTAACTATGTTAAGTAAACATATATATATAATGCTATCCAATTAAGAAAAAATATGATATAATGTTAAAGTTCATGCAAGTTTATTTTGCCCATTCTCTATGTAACATTATTCTGTCCATTCTCCACTGCATTATTACAGTGTCTGCCTCTGTATTTATGTATTGTTATATGTTTACTGATGAGCTGAAAAGCTTATAGTCAATAAATGAATTGATACAGTTGTGAATGGTACAGAGCTCTAAAACCCATACTGCTATAAATTCTAATTAACTGTTAACGTTATATTTCTAAAATGAGCTGCAGGAGGATGGCTGAGGCCATGAAAGTGTCCCCCACCCTCCCCCTCGTATTCATTTTTCACCACAGCCTTAAATATTTATTTTACGTATGTAAAGACAAAATGAAATATTTTAATTCCACAACAGGTACAACTCTTTATTTTATTGAAACGGAATTAAGGACTTAAGAACTTACACACTGATCTTGAGAATTGGTGTTAGGTATACAACACTCAAACCCAAACAGTTTCCAGACTCCATCCCTGTTGATGATGATGTTCTCAGGACACAGGTTACTATGGAGGAGTTTAACATCATGATGGAGGAAACTGATTCCCTCAGCTACCTACATAAACATGAAATGTACAAGCTTGTATAACACAAAATAACAGTAACAAAGACTCCAATTTCATAAGTATTCCTTAACTTTAACAAATTCTGTAACTTGTTTATTTACATTGAAAGCATTGTTAGATTTAAGGAAAATTCTCAAGTAAAGGTAGTAAGTCTCAGTAATCATTAGCATTTTTCTTACCTGAAGTTGCTCGTCTATTTACTATACATGTAGCAGAACTATAAATGAAAGAAGCATGCTTAGTATTTCCTTTTTTATTTCTTTACCAGCTGAAGATCAAACTATGTGAATTTTAGTAATTCTGAGAAGACTTACAATGTATATGGTGTAGATGCTTGTTTCCTTACCTGCAGGAGCCCGTGTTTGATTTCCACCTCGTACAAACTGAAATTTGCCAACTGTCTTGGCATCGGATTGGGTAGGTTGTCATGGTAGCCAAGGACATTGCCTAATGAGGCAAACACTGGTTCTGTTGCAAAGGCTAATGTCTCTCTAAAATTACAAAAAATCACTGCGATGCATGTACCCTTCTTAAAAATTGTTTTTTATACAAATTTAATTATCTGACCAAAGTAAAAAAAAATAAAGCTGTTTTATTGACATTTGTCAATTGGTAATTTCGAAAGAATTTGTATACACTGTAGTTTTCTCTTAAAAACCAAAGTGCCCATTCTTTAACACACTATATATTTCTATAAGATATACTGTCAGTGCCTATACATTGTTTCTTTGTAGCTGTGGGAACTGAAGTTCAGGGCCTAGGTCCAATCAATTGTTTTATTTTGAAAATTTATCATGGTCTGATAATCTAAAATTTCAAAATAAAAGAAATCAGACTTTGAGTTATGGTTCCAGTAGCTATTTTCTTTGATATAAAGTTTCATCAAACATGTGCTTATAGTTTCCAAGTGAAAATCTATGCAAATTAAAACATCACCAAACTGATCGAATATTCAAATTTCTCTAATTTATGCAAATTTCAAATCAATTTCATGGCATCCTTAATTTAGAACACAAATAAATCTTTTCATAATAATATTTGGGAAGTATTCTAACTTAACCCTTAGGCTGCTATATTGATTTCTATGTAAACGGACACCACTGCTGAATTAATTATTGAAATTTAAATTAATTTACTTGATTTTTCAAATGTGCATAACTTGGAAAATATTTGTTACATGTGAAAAAAAGTTATATAAAAATTGTTCGTTGTTGTCTCTAGTTTATATTAAGGTTTTCAATTCTAAAGTTGCTTCAGTATTTACCTGTACAGGTGGTAATAAAGGTAAGAAAATGTGAAACTTTTAATTAATCGGATTTAAGCAAGAGGAAGATCATTTTAAAACTATTTTTGTCTGCAAAT